GCTGGTGGTATTCAGCATTGCTGTATAATCATTATACAGCAATGCTGAATACCACCCAGCTACAGTCCCCCAATCCCCCCAAGCCAGCCATCACCCACAGACTCCCCAACCTTACCTACATCCAGGCTGCAGCACCTCTCCTTGGCGGCCAGCGGAGGGGAGGGGTCACAGGAGAGCGTCCTCACTCACGCTGACCCACATACCAGGATGTGGCTGTGGGTGCCTGCATAGACGGGTATAGGCTCTGCCCCCGCCAGGCTAACAGTGATGTGATCGCCTGTGCCGCCTGTTATCTTCACAGCACACACGCCGGAACATACAGCTGTCCCTCCTCCGTGTCACAGACTTTACTGCAGTTCATTGTACAAAGTTTTTACAATGAACCGCAGTAAAGGTCTGTGATACGGAGCTGGGCAGAGCAGAGTCGGGAGCGCTGCTTCGCCTGCGGCCCGGTGCCATTTGATCCACGGACCGGTGCCATTTGATCCACGGACCGGTACCGGGCCGCGGATCAAGGGGGGTTGGGGACCACTGCTCTACGTCATCTGAAGAGATCCATGCGTGTCCTTTTCACCATGGACTGCAGCATCCAAGTTTCTGTTTACATCCTGCTGTGATGTAGAAGATGGCGCTCCCACCACCCACCACTAGAGGGAGCGGTTATAATAAAAGTGGATCTGTACTAGGCTGACCCCCGTCTCTCAGGAGCTCCCTCTAGTGGCAGTGATGAGCATCTACAGCACAGAAGGATGTAGACAGAGGCCTGGAAGCTGTGGCGGCAGAACACCCAGATCACTTCAGATAAAACATATACAATGCCAATTCAGACTTTTGTAGCAATCTGTAAAGCACAATATTCTTACAACCAACTGTATCCCCAAATATTATTAGTAAGGGATAGAATGGGATTTCTTTCATCCAAGGGACTGAGGTGATTGTTTTATAGACAGGAAATGGATGGATCCGTATCCTCTATAAAGGGCAGCCCCTCACACAGACCCTTTGCTATGAATTGACAAGCTGACGGTGTCTCTACCTATGGAGAACATGAGCACAGCACTTGACATTGCAGAAAGTCACTTACTTGTCCACCTTCCCCTCCGTGCTGTGTAGAAGATTCATGAGCTTATTCTGAGCATCTTCCAGCATCTCCTGCTTCAGATCGGCTGAAAGAGAAGGAAAAGCTTCACGTCAGTCACGGGGGTATCCAGACACCCGAACGGGGCAAGAATTCCATCCACAACAATTAGAATGTTCTAAGAACTTCCTGACAAGTTCTGTAATCTCTCTCTGCCCTTCGTATATTGATTAAAACGTCCCTTAGTGAGAAATTACCTATTGATCCTGCCAGTCACTGGCACTTCCTTCTCAGGGTCAGTGATCTGGAGGCTCATAGAACCTCGGCACCTTTGCCAACACAGTGGGCAGTGCTCCCCTTCTAGTAAGTAAATGGTCTACTCACAGCTTACTGTGCGGCATAATCCTCCTAGCAGCCTACGTCAGCATGGCCCGGGATGGGGGCTGGGCTATGCTGCAATATGTCACATGTTTTGGTGAAGTCACTAACTTTTCCAGGCCTTTCACACTGGTCGCTGCTTGCGCGGGGTGACTGATCTTGTCTGCGCCCCTCCTGTGATAAAGACCGCTCACTGCTGCGCTCTCCTTGTGCAGGGTGACTGGTCTCATCTCCGCCCCCCTCCTGTAATAAAGACCGCTCACTGCTGCGCTCTCCTTGTGTAGGGTGACTGGTCTCGTCTCTGCCCCCTCCTGTAATAAAGACCACTCACTGCTGCTCCCTCTCCTTATGCAGGGTGACTGGTCTCGTCTCTGCCCCCTCCTGTAATAAAGACCACTCACTGCTGCTCCCTCTCCTTATGCAGGGTGACTGCTCTCGTCTCCGCCCCGTCCTGTAATAAAGACCGCTCACTGCTGCGCTCTCCTTGTGCAGGGTGACTGGTCTTGTCTCCGCCCCCTCCTGTTATAAAGACCGCTCACTGCTGCTCTCTCCTTGTGCAGGGTGACTGGTCTTGTCTCCGCCCCCTCCTGTTATAAAGACTGCTCACTGCTGCTCTCTCCTTGTGCAGGGTGACTGGTCTTATCTCCGCCCCCTCCTGTAATAAAGACCGCTCACTGCTGCTCTCTCTCTCCTTGTGCAGGTTGACTGGTCTCGTCTCTGCCCCTCCTGTAATAAAGACAGCGCACTGCTGCTCTCTCTCTCCTTGTACAGGGTGACTGGTCTCGTCTCCACCCCTCCTGCAGTTTTCTGTAGGCAGCCTGTTGCGAGTGGGACCTGTTGAGCCCCTCCCATGTATAGTACAGTGATGTCAATGCTACTATTATATCTAGGTTAGCAAGGGCCTCCTTTCTGCCCCCCTCCCCCAAAAAGCAAAAAAAACACCATCAGTACATCTCTGCAAGTAAAAAAAAATTACCTGTTGATCTGCTGGAACCTTAAGGAGCTCCTAACTTCCCTTTTGAGCCGACAATGCCAGCTCTGCTGCACTGAAATCCCAACAGTGTTGTCAGCCTTGCCCAATTCTCATCTGCTGGTCTTAAAGCACACACCCGTTAGGGAGAGGAGAAGGAGAGCGTTCGAGCCTACGTCAGGTTTATTGAAGTGCGTGCTACTACTGCAGAAACATCCCTTCACTTCCTGTCAGGACAGGAAGTAATGCAAAACCTCCCCCAAGGGGAACCAGAATCAAAAACACAAAATTTAAACGTGGGAAAGAGAGAACTTCTGAATGTTTGTTATTGCCGTCTGCGCCTTCCCAGGTAAAACCGCACCCCCACCTTCCCCATTTCTTGTATGGGCGTCACATGGACAGGTAGAAATCTGCCCAATGGGGGGTCACAGAATTAAAGTACCTGCCACGTTTTAACTCAATGCCAGTTTAAATAAAACTGAAAAATGGTTAAAATCAAACTTTTGAGAAAAAAAAAAAAAGATAATATAATTTTTGGGTGTATAAGTGACGAAAGTGAGAGAGTTTGATGCCAATATGTATCCAAGAAGAAACCCCCAGACTACAGAACGCTCATTCCTGCAGGCGGGGCCGGGAGGTCTCCATTGTTTTCATACTGTATCTTGATTGCCAGAAATGGAATGTTTTGTCCGATTAATAAATGACCTGAAATATTCCCGATGGATTCCGCGTCCAGGCGTGAGAAGTTCTCCGAGGAAAGGAAAGATATACAATGAGTCCATATAAGTCGATGTCTGGATCCAGGCGGTGAGCGAGGGGGTACCACCGCGGAGTCCACCACTGAGGAAACAGCCGAGTCTAATCATAAACTGGGAGAGATGATTTATGAAAACTGGAGAAAGAGAACGTGAGCCGCCAACACCGCCCGGTGAGATCTCGGGGCAGTCCGCATGGTCTCGTCATTGCTCATCTCCGCTATTGTTTCATCTACCCCGCTGATCTAATCACTTGTGTGTGTTAGAACCCCCCAGCAACCAACCAACGCTCAGTATTCTGCTGACTGAGCAGCTAAAGATGCATTCGGATTGGCTGCTGGGAATTAATGGACAGCTCTGATTTACCAGGGCAGCCAATGTATGAATCTTTTACGTCCTTACAGACTGGCCGCTCGGATACAATATGTAGGATTAAATGACCGGCACCGCACATACACATGTGTATGATGTGTGACACAACACGCATGTCCTCCACACAGCATGCTCTGGGGCCGATACATGAACGGTCATAAAAAGGCATATGACACTTTTTGTAAAAAAAATTAAAGTACATCCATGTTGCAAAAAGAGAAATGTGTCTAGTAATTGTTTCCCGAAGATTGTCCCAGCACCAGGAGGTGGAAACAGTGTCCGATGTGCAGATCAGTCATGAGCCCCAGGGGTGGGGGTCTTATGTGTGGCATGCAAGTTGTCGTCATGGAGAGAGGATGGAGGGATCTGATGTATGTACTGCAGGTGTCGTCAGGGCAGAAGGTGTGTGTGTGTGTGTGTGTGGGGTCTGATGCATGGTCTGCGGGTGTCATCAGGGCAGAAGGTGTGTGTGTGGGGTCTGATGCATGGTCTGCGGGTGTCATCAGGGCATGAGGTATGTGTGAGGGTGGGATCTGTTGCATGGTCTGTGGTTGTCATCAGGGAAGGATGAGTAGCGGGGATGGGGTCTGATGCATGGTCTGTGGTTGCCATCAGGGAAGGACGAGTGGCAGGGGTGGGGTCTGATGCATGGTCTGCAGGTGTCACCAGGGAAGGACGAGTGGGGGGGATGGGGTCTGTTGCATGTTCTGCGGGTGTCATCAGGGAAGGATGAGTTGTCTGGGTGAGGCACGGTCTCAGCGAATTGCGGTCTGGGTGAGGCGTGCGCTGAGTAAAGCGCGGTCTGGGTGAGGCATGCGCTGAGTGAAGCGCGGTCTGGGTGAGGCACGGTCTCAGCGAATTGCGGTCTGGGTGAGGCATGCGCTGAGTGAAGCGCGGTCTGGGTGAGGCATGCGCTGAGTGAAGCGCGGTCTGGGTGAGGCACGGTCTCAGCGAATTTCCGTCTGGGTGAGGCGTGCGCTGAGTGAAGCGCGGTCGGGATCAATTTGTTAACCATTTATGGCCATTCAGTGCGGCGCGTCTGGCAGGACGGCTCTTTCTATGAATTTCGCGCTGGCTGCCAACGTGTCCATGAAGAGATTGCTCCGGCGATCTGGCTGCGGCTGTGTCTGAGAATGTATTTGGGACGGCTGTCAAGAAGAATTTTTTTTATGCCGGGCGTCTGAAGCAGGAAGTAACTCTTTCATGTCTGAGCCTCACCGAGCCGATCACAGAGTGCTATAGGGGGGAGCTGCAAGGGGCAGAGAGACCCGAACATGGAAGTCCTACCTGTTCTACATAACGCCCTATGAGCCGACTATCACAAGCAACGCTCAGAACTGCTGCACCTCCGGCAATATCCTCACCACACCACAGGCTGAAGTCACAAAGTAAACACACCCGGATAACCATCCCTATATAAAATAATAGTGATTACCAATAACCAATGAGGTTTGTAAAATGACATATCGTGGCTGAGAATAAAGATCCTTGTGTATGAAGGGAAGGACGGAGGTCAGATAGAAGACTGAAGGGGAGGACGGAGGTCAGATAGAAGACTGAAGGGAAGGACGGAGGTCAGATAGAAGGCTGAAGGGAAGGACGGAGGTCAGATAGAAGGCTGAAGGGAAGGACGGAGGTCAGATAGAAGGCTGAAGGGAAGGACGGAGGTCAGATAGAAGGCTGAAGGGAAGGACGGAGGTCAGATAGAAGGCTGAAGGGAAGGACGGAGGTCAGATAGAAGGCTGAAGGGAAGGACGGAGGTCAGATAGAAGGCTGAAGGGAAGGACGGAGGTCAGATAGAAGGCTGAAGGGAAGGACGGAGGTCAGATAGAAGGCTGAAGGGAAGGACGGAGGTCAGATAGAAGGCTGAAGGGAAGGACGGAGGTCAGATAGAAGGCTGAAGGGAAGGACGGAGGTCAGATAGAAGGCTGAAGGGAAGGACGGAGGTCAGATAGAAGGCTGAAGGGAAGGACGGAGGTCAGATAGAAGGCTGAAGGGAAGGACGGAGGTCAGATAGAAGGCTGAAGGGAAGGACGGAGGTCAGATAGAAGGCTGAAGGGAAGGACGGAGGTCAGATAGAAGGCTGAAGGGAAGGACGGAGGTCAGATAGAAGGCTGAAGGGAAGGACGGAGGTCAGATAGAAGGCTGAAGGGAAGGACGGAGGTCAGATAGAAGGCTGAAGGGAAGGACGGAGGTCAGATAGAAGGCTGAAGGGAAGGACGGAGGTCAGATAGAAGGCTGAAGGGAAGGACGGAGGTCAGATAGAAGGCTGAAGGGAAGGACGGAGGTCAGATAGAAGGCTGAAGGGAAGGACGGAGGTCAGATAGAAGGCTGAAGGGAAGGACGGAGGTCAGATAGAAGGCTGAAGGGAAGGACGGAGGTCAGATAGAAGGCTGAAGGGAAGGACGGAGGTCAGATAGAAGGCTGAAGGGAAGGACGGAGGTCAGATAGAAGGCTGAAGGGAAGGACGGAGGTCAGATAGAAGGCTGAAGGGAAGGACGGAGGTCAGATAGAAGGCTGAAGGGAAGGACGGAGGTCAGATAGAAGGCTGAAGGGAAGGACGGAGGTCAGATAGAAGGCTGAAGGGAAGGACGGAGGTCAGATAGAAGGCTG